TTCCGCTTTCAGCCAAGCTCACGCAGAGGCAGCCCAGGGAAAGGGAAGGCAAAGGTCTTGGCAGAGCTTTGTTTTCAGTCCCCTGCCTGATGACTTCCCAGCGGCAGGGAGGCTGCGGCCACACCGGCTGGCACTGCCTGCCCCAGCACTGAGCCTCCCCCATTGGGCCTTGCCCCTGTACTGGATCCTGCGGGCAATGGTCCCGCGGTCCCCAGGTTTGCTTTGGCTCCATCCCATTCAGAATCAGCAGATGTTTGCTCACACACTTGGACACGTGCCGGGGCTGGCGCGGGGTCCGCTGGGGTCGTCAGCCTCCCCACCGTATCTCCGGCGCTGGGGTGGTCAGCCTCCCCACCGTACCTCCGGCACAAGGCTGCCGTGCATCCCGCGTGAGAGCTGGTGCCCGCGCGCAGCCCGTGCCGGGGGGCAGCGGATGCACTCAGGTGCTGCTCCTGCATCCCACGGAGCTTGATCCCTTCTAGGCTTGAGATGCGCAACTTCGGGGTGAAGGTCTGTGTGATCGAGCCAGGCTACTTCAAGACAATGATCACCAACGTCGAGAACCTGGAGAAGCATTTTCTTTCCACCTGGGAGAAGCTCCCGGAGGAAACCAAAGCAAGTTATGGGGAGAATTACTTGAAGGAGTGTAAGTACCTCACCTAAAGGTTAAGCAATGCTGTTTCTCTCCTGACACAAGGCACATTCCCGGGGCCACGGGGTGTCCCACCGCCCCGTCATCCCACTGAGCCGTTCAGCTGCGTTCGGCTCAAGAGTCTAAGCCCGGCAGCCTGACCGGCCCTTTCTGCCTCCGCAGTTTTGGTGACACTCAGGAAGATGCAGAAGAGATGCAACTCCAACCTGACGCTGGTCACAAACTGCATGGAGCACGCGCTGACCAGCCGCTTCCCACGCACCCGCTACTCTGCGGGCTGGGACGCCAAGCTGCTCTACATCCCCCTCAGCTACCTGCCGTCAGCCCTCACGGATGTCATACTGTCCTGGTCCCACCCCAAACCTGCCTGGAAAGCCTAAGGCAGGGACACGGCGTAGGCAGCTGACAGGCAGCAGCAGCCAGGGCCGGCAGCGCAGGGTGGAATCCGGCATCGCCCGCAGCCGAGGCCGTGCCAATAGGTTCCTGAATTTCTAACTCAATGTATGTCTCGCAACCCGCTGTCTCTGCTAGCAGACTGGTTTGCTTCTGAATAAAGACAACTCCTCCTCCCCGCCTGGCAGGGCTTGGTTTCAGCCTTGGCTGGGGCTGCGGCACTGAGGCCGT